GCTTTTTGCTGATCAAGTTGCTCGCCTTGCCCCTCCATACCCTCATGAGTCATTTGTATGACATGTGTCTAATTTGAGTTCAAAATCTCTAGTAATCTCAGCTTTCTGGCATCCAAAGAAGGTGCAACCAGCTTTCCTCACAAAAGCCAACATGGTTGTCATCTAAGTCAAGCATGTTCTAGTTCTGCCACAGAGTGGAAGAGGGAGACTGAAATTATAATCATGGTCTTGAACCCAGAGCATTTGCAGAAAGTCATCTGATGCATTTCCCTTGGGGAAAAAATACATTAATTTATGTATTTACTTAATTTACTTGAAAGACCAAGCCACTGGTGGGAGGGTTGACAGAGGGAGGATGGAAAGAGAAAGGAGCAAGACAACTGGGTTAGAGAAAGAGGAAAAAAAAGACAACAAGAGAAGACAAACTGCTTCACTCCCCAAATGGCTGAAACAGATGATTCTGGAGGTTGGTTGGAACCGGCCTCCAGGACCCTGATCCTGGTCGCCCGTATGGGTCACAGCAGCCAAGGCACTTTGGACATTTACTGCTTTCCCAGTTGCGTTAGCGGGAACCTGGGTTAGAAGCAGAATATCTGGGATTCAAACCAGCACTCTGATAAGGAATGCTAACTCTAACAATATTTGCCTTAACCTGCTGTGTCACAACCTGGCCCCATTTGATGTGTTTTCTGAGTATGGTATTTATTATGTGTTTTTCCTGCTTGTAGAAAAAAATTCATTCTCTAAGGATCTCAGTTCCAGTTCCAAGAAATCTAAAGAATCAGTTCTGTGTGCTTTTCTGAATGTTTGAATTATTGACCTAATGCTCGAAGGGGAAACTATGCCACAGTTATTTGGATCGTCATCTTTTATAAGCCATTCTCACAATTTATTAGGAATATTCCTTTTATGGCAGAATGCCTTAGTAGCCAGAACACAGGGAAAATATATTTTTAGATTATGTACTTGGAATCAATAGAGGGTCTAAAAAGATTTAGAAACACAAAGAACGAGGTATGTTATTTCAGATAAATTATTGTGCCAACTGCTTTAAATGTAGAGATTCTTCAATTATAGAAAAAGAGCAAGGTAGGTATGGTATTCCTAAGCATTAGTAACTTATTATTTAAAGATATGTTTGTTAGGGTTCTTGACTTCCCAACAGGCTGTTCTCACTAGCTCATTTTTTCATCTCACATTGAGAAAGGGAGGGGCAGGATTCACGAGGACATTGAAGACCACTAAGAGATCCTTCATCTCATGGTGGAAGATCAGAATGGTTATAGAATTATAGAATTTCCAGGGAACTTACATATGGTTATTGATTGGAACTGGATTGTATTCTTTCATTATCCTGTGTGCTGGTTTCAAGACTGTGTTGTGTCCAGGAAGTATGATCTGGAATGTATACAGCCAGGGCACAGGCATCTCTGTTTAATCCCTCCCTAACGATGTTCATTACCTTTAACCTTGTTTTTTTAAACCTCCAGGGAAATTGCTCAATAACATGTATAACTACTTTGAAATATTTTAGTTCTCTTTCTCTGAAGAGTTCAGAACAACCCAGGAACTCAGAGTTCCAATTATGGCACTGCAGAGGGGCCCCCAGCCTGAGTGTTGTGACTGAGCAATTAACCTAAATGGCAAAGCTGAAGCATGCTTTTGGGAAGCAAACTGAGTTTGCTTTCTTTGGTACAAACACATAATTATGCTTTGACAATGAAACAGCATTGAATGCAGAGTGACCATAAACCCTAGGGCACAAGTGGGAAAGTTTATGGTTTTGAAAATTAAACTGAATTCTCTACCGGGGAATAGAACCTAGAGGAAAACAAAAAGCTTTTCTATTCTCTCATTAATGAAAGAGCTATATGCAAACTGTTGACAGCAGAGGTTTAAGAAGTTCTTTGTGCACACATAAGAATCACCTCTCTAAAGGAAAATGTACCTTGAGAAGCATCGGTGTATTATGTTTTTGTAAATATAGGTAGATACACACATTAAAAATGGGCTCAATTGTTCCAGTAGATTTTCCCTTTTTTATTAATAGAACTGATTATATGTGGTCCTAGGTACAGTTCCATAAAGACAGTCCCACATCCCTTGCTCCCATTCCCCCAACCTCCCCGGCATTCCTCCCTTCTTTCTCTCATTTCAAGGGTGTTTGAACAGACATAATTTTAATCCACTCTATATTCACAGACTGATTTTGCCACTAATCATAATAGTCAACAAGCAAAAACTAAAAAGACCACAACACCACGTTTCCACAGCAGTATAAACACAGGCTAAGGATAACGATCATATCCCCAAAATTACCATTTCATTCTTATACTTTTTGTGCGTATTCCGTATTAGATGACACATATCAGAGAAAACATGATACTTGTCTCTTTTGAGGCTGTTTTTTCTTTTTAAAAAATATTTTATATGTAGTAAAAAAAATTTCATATATTTCACAATACAAACTTATAAACACAGTGACCCTTCCCACCCTACCCAGGCCCTGCTCATGTTCCTCACCACCTTCCTTCTTTATTATTTCCTTTTTCAAGAACAAATTACAATGTAATGCTTTTAGTTCATTTCAATCACAGGCTTAACAATATTTTAGGTAAAAAATTCAACAAATAACAAGTAGAAAAGAAAAAAAACCAACTCCTTCCTCAAGAAAATAGACAAAGGCTATAACAATAATCAATTCTCAGAATGTTCCTTTCAATCATGCATTTTCTTATACTCTGTGCATTACCTAAAATAGATCACAAAAATATGATATTTGTATATGTAAGCCTGAGAAAGGCTTATTTCTCTAGACATAATGGTTTCTAGTTTCATCTATTTGATTGCAAATGACAGGATTTCATTCCTTTTTATGGCTGAGTAGTACTCCATGGTGCATATATATTGCCTTTGCTTTATCTAATCCTCTGTGGCTGGACCTGTGGGTTGAAGATCTTGAACCTAGCAGACATCTATTTTGTCTTTGTTTATGCTTTTACATTCTTCTACAGGACATTCAGGGTTTTGGTTTTCCCATAAGTTTTGGGAGATAAAAATGCAACTCTACTATTAGAGAAATTTCATAAATCTGACATTGCTGGGTGTAAAACACACTATATCCCTCCAGGGCTATGATCTGGTGATGTTGCTATTTTCTTGTGTCTGTCCCCTTGAAGAAAGAGTTCTTTTGGGAGCATCCATTTGGATAGTATAGGTTTTCTTTTGACTCACGCATCCCCTGCTTTCTGTGAATATATCTAAGAGGCCCTCTTTTTTTGTAATTTTTGCTTAGATGGATAAAGTTAAAATGGAACCATGAAGACATAGGAAAAAGAAAACTTAGCTGGATTATAAGGCTGCTCACCTGGCTTAAAATGCAGTACACCTACCATTTATTTTAGGAACCAATAGGACTGTATATAACGTAAAATTCTCCAAATGCTGATGAGCTGGCCTTCTTGTCTAGAATGTGTGCATTACAGGCATTGAAGCAGCAGTTGGCTGCTTGCATCTGGTGATGTTGGTGTGTGCTCTGTCAGTACTGACAGTGTTTATGGCTGCATATGGAACTACAGATCATCTGCAGGGGCAAAGTTGTATTGTGACTTATGATGACCGTATGGTGACATTTAAAAGTCCTGCAGCTCCTCAGCAGGGAAAACCACACTGGACCTGTGGTCCAGCAAACATGTCAGTGGGCCCAGCACTGCATCCTCAAATCTAGATTGGCAATCAGACCTCTCTCATGTGGACCACTTCTCTGAGGGAGGGGGTTGCAAATTGACTTCCTGTCTCAGTGTTACTCCGCCTTTCCTTTTAGTGTGGCTTTCCCTGTGGGATATATGCAGCTCTAATATATCCTGGTTTCTCCAGTTACTGTCAGTCTGTCTGTAGGGTAAATTCTAAAGCCCTGCTAGGAGTGAAGCTTCGATTGTGGCAGCTGACATGTATCCCCCTGTGGCCTTCCACAAATCTAATTAATATCCTCAGAGGTTCCTTTAGAGACAGAAGAGGAACTAAACAGTTGATGGTTTTCATGAGATAGCTCTTTGCTTCTAGAAGACATTGAAAGAGGACATATTTGAGATGACTAAGGAACAGAACATGATGCTAATTAAGACATTAGAAGATATGTTTTAAGCAGCCAGAGTTATGCCATTCGACTACAGAAAAGGGAAATGAAATTGATTGTAACAACCCACACTGAATTGAGTGAGGACAGCAAAATGGCCAAAAGGTAGGCAGGTGATTTCAAATTTGACAATGAATGTGATGCTTTTATTTATATCAGTCTGTCTAACAAAAGCAAACAAACAGGATTGTAACTGATTACAAGAGAAATTCATCATGTGAGAAGAAAACAAAAGGCAGCTTTTAGAGATGGCCGAAGAAATGGCAGTGTGGTTTCATGATGGATTAGGGAGAGATTTAATTCACAGCTATAAGTAAATTTTCCTGTTGTGTCTTAGTAATCAGGCTTCCCTGGGAAATTATTTTTTTTATTAATTGTATTGTATTATGTGACACAGTGTTACAGGCACTGGGATTCCCCCCACCCCTCCCCAAACCCTCTCTCCATGGTGGATTTCTCCACCTTGCTGCATTACCACAGTTCAAATTCAGTTGAGGTTCTTTCATTGGAAGTATTTACCAGGCACAAAGTCCAGCATCTTATTATCCTAGTGAGTTCAACGATTTCTTGGTGAGACCATCTCTGGTCTGAAGGTAAAACCGGCAAAGTATCGTCCCAATCAATTAAAAGCCCCAACATAACAACAACAACAATTTACAACATTATGGCATTAATTGACATGGTATTGATTAACCAATATGTTAATAGGAAAATACAAGTTCTTAACTACATCCTGTGACTTCTTCATAGACACTTCAAATTTGGTTTATATTCAACCAGGATCTATACACCTCAAAATGGCTATAGATTACTGTTCAGCTTTCTCGTGTAAATTTTAATTTTTGCATTTAGCTGTTTATAGTGTTGAAGCATGATTTTGCTGAACTTGGTTGTTTTTCGGATGGTCTGAACTGGCTTATAACTCTAACGAGACATGTCTCAGAAATGATTTTTTTTAAGAGAAGTACATTTTATTTTTCACTGTGCAAAAACATTAGATGAATATTTTATAAAATAGAATTGTTTTTCAATTTCTAGTGTATTTAAACAAATATTGTTTCAGTCTGATAATTTTAAACAATGTTTATGGAATTCTGACTGTATATTTCTGCTTCACAGAATTGTGGCAGCTAATGTAAAGAATTGAGTACCACTTTTATTACCATCTACTTAGGATGGAATTGAACGACAGGGAGGCTAGCAACTTGAGTATTCTAGTTCCAGAGCCTAAAGTTCTGGCTACCACCACTACTCGGCATTAGGATGCTTCATGTCTGCCATGCCTGAAGACGTCTCTGACAATCTTACAGTTCCTCTTGAAAGATGAGGGAACTGAAGTTCAGATAGCACATGTTACTACCAGGTAGTGGGACTTACCATCAGGCTATCTGACTCCTGACTGTCTTCTATGGCTTTGGCTGGAGCAGCAAGAGGTTCTGCAGATATTGGCCTGCTAATAACAACAACACCTACTTACACTTCTATGGTACCTACTGTGTGTGAGGCCACATGTGTGGGTTCTCTTCCTTTACAAGGACCCAGTGTAGCAAGCACCATTGGCCTTCTATGGCCATAGGTCCCATATACATGGATCGATTCAATCAACTGAGGATCAAAGATATTTGGAAAAATATGCATGTGTACTAAACATGGACAGATTTTATTTCATCCTTTCTTCAATAATGTAGTACAATTGTGTACATACAATTTACCTTATATTAGGTATTATAAATAAGTAGAGTGTATGGGAGACTGTTATTTTATATAAGGGATTTGAACATCCACAGATTTCTATATTAATCATGATTCCAGGAATCAATCCCTTTAAGACACTAAGGAATAACTGTATTCTTATCATCCCTATTATTCCTTGGATGAGGATCTTGAAGCTCAGAGAAGTGAAATAGTTCATCCAGGGTCACATATCTGTCCCATGATAGAGCAAGAATTAAGCCTGGGCCATCTTACTCTACCAATTTATCATTAAATAATCTCCTCTGAAATGAACATGAATAAAAGTGACAATAAGAAAGAAAATACAGAGCAGATCTTGACTTTCTTAATTTGTAAAAAGATAATATTTGTATAAACACTGTGGAATACTATTCAATAATAAAAAAGAATGAAATCCTGTCATTTTGAATAAAATGGATGCAACTGAAAATCATTATGCTTAGTGGAATAAGCCAGTCCCCCAAAATCATATGTCATGTGTTCCCTAATTTGTGATAATTAAAATACAAAACATAAAAATTTACATGAGCGGAAGTGACATTTTGAGATTTGATTATTGTTTGCAGCCCTTGTCTGTACAGTTGTGAAACAGTGTTTTCTCTACTTACTACTTATTGGATTCTTTATTCGAATAAGAGTAGAGGGTAAAGTTTGTGACTGTAAAATAAATCTGAAGTAGGTCGCTGTGAAAAGTGAAAGAAAAGAAAGGAAGGATGAGGGAGGGTGGGAAGAAGGATAGGGAAGGAAGTATTATGTTCTCAGAAATATATACATGAAAAGCATTTAAAAGATGTATTTATTTCAGACAGACTTATACAGAGAGAGAGGAGAAAGAGAGAGAGAGAAAAGGAGAGAGAGAGAGAGTGTTTCTCCATCTGCTGGGTCACTCCCTAGTTGTCTGCAACAGCTGAGGCTAGGCTGAGCCAGACATGAGCACAGAATTTCATCTGGGTTTTCCACGTGGGTGCAACGACCAAAGTACTTGATCCATCTGCTGCTGCTTTCCTTGGAGTATTAACAGGGGGCTGTATAGGAGGAGGAAGTGAGTACTTGGGACCTGAACTGACATTCATATGTAGCAGGTTAACACACTGTGCCATAGCACTGATCCTTCTTGGGAGTTTTAATGGCCTAAGATTGTTCAAAATATAGCAGCAGTTAGTTTGATCATCAAGAACCTGATAACTTATTGACTGCAAATAATTGGAATTGGGAAAGAACATAAAACCCAGCATTGTTAGCTGAGATATCTGTTCTCTTCCCACAGTCACTAAGAATACATCACAATCAATAGACAGTCCTTCATCTTTACACTGCTGAGGCACATCTCTTAGCAAATATCATCCTCAGAATCTTACACTGATACGGCGGAGGTAGCACAATAGCTCTTCATCAGATAGTATCGTCTCTCCCAATGCCATCATTGAATTTTGCTGAGGTATTTTTAATTTCAAGTGGAAAAAGTCTTTTTTTCTAAAACTGATGCAATCTCCTGTGATTTAGAAAGCCAGCCTAATATGGGGAGAAGGAGTGAAATCTTGTTTCCATCGAAACAAAATGCCCTTTAAAGAGCCCGTGTCATCTTCTACAATTTTTACAGAAGGCAAGGAAGGAAAAGAACTGCAGTTGCCTTTATTCGTTGGTGTTCCTGTTGGCCTGGAGCAAGCCTGTGTTGACTTAACTGCTCAGCCCCACCTGTTCAGGGAATGGTGAAGCTCAGTCTTATGGTTACCCTGGGTCTCCTTTTGGAAAAGAGTAAATTCTCAGTGAATTGATTTATGCTGTTAGTATGGCCTTCTCAGTTTCAAAGTATCATGAAATTTTATTAAAAAAAAATTGAGAACAGTCTGCTATGCTTCCTTTGGGACTTTTGAATTTTGAGAAAAAAGAAAAGATTTATTTCTTTCCCTGATCAAAATCTCAGAGATTGATATGGGTAACTGCTGCTGTGTTTTGTTGGTTTTGTTCTAAGACTACTACAAGAAAACTTCAAAGACTGTATAATTTATAATAGAGAAAACAATTTAAGCCCAGTAGTCAGAGAAGTAAGACCAAGTCCAGTGTGAAGGTCATCCTTGGTACAGGTCTCAACAAGGTCTCAATGGTGGGTTGTAAAGTGACCTTCAGCGTGGGCATGAAGCCAGGCTAAACAAAAGCATTTCCAAGTCTGGGATCTTGATTATGGTGAGAACTGCAACCCAGCTGGTCACTTAACCATGAGAGGAAGCAAAGAAAAGAGGTCTCAGATCTTCAAGTTATAAACTAAGTGATAGAGGAATGATATTGTTGGCATTTTCTCTTACTGTCATGCCAGGAGCAGTCTCTTTGGCTCCTTTCCCCACTTGACTGTATTTGCAAAACATCAATTTTTATATACAGTGAAATTAACTCCTTTTTTCACACCAAACTGTGAGTTTGAGAAGAGTCATTTGCCACTGTCACAGTCAGGACTCAGAACAGGCTCCTCCCTGCCTACCTTCATCTGTGCTACCCTTTGGTTTTCAAGTCCTCCTACACTCCAGGAAGTCCCAGCTCTGTTGTCTAGCTATGTAGCTTTTTGCCTTTTCCAAGATGTCATGGAAATGGCATCCTAGACAGTGTAGACTTTTTCATTTGCTTTTAGTCCTTAACATAAGGAAGTCAGTATTCATGAACATGTCTGCATGTAACAGTAATCCCCCAAGAGTATTTGCTGCTATAAATATTCATGTACAGGGTTTGCATAGACTTGAATTTTCCTTTCTTTTGGATTCTCTCAGTTTGAATGGTTGTAACTCATGAATTTCCAATGCCTGTCTTTTTTATCTGCCCCCCCAGTGTAATCAGAAATCAGTGTGGTGTGAACAATAAGACATTCTGCAGCCCTACACCAAGTCTGTCATGATCATGGATAGGCTAGAGTGACGACAGAATCAGGACTGTGCTGCAAACAGAACCACCTTCTCTGTGGGAGCAGCTGCCAAACACTAACACAAAATGTATTAATTTTTTCAAAATAAAATCCAAAGTTAAGATTATTTTGTATTTAGTAAGTGAAATGTTTTCGTGAACATTTGTATTGTATGTCCAGTGTATTTTCTTTTTGAACAGAGGGCACAAATCAAAGTCTTATGAGGGATGACCTCAGCAGCTTGAATCATGATTGAAGCTGAAGGTCTAAGGAAGGGAGGTCAGAAATGAATCAGGACTCCAACATGAAGGTGTTGGAATTTAACAGATAGGCAGGTGTAGCAGGAAGAATGGAGAGGGAGAGTAAAGAGTCCGGTTTCAAGCCTTGTCAGGCTAGCCCCAAACAATTGCTTCAGTCAAATGAGATCCACATACATTTTAGAATTTGTGCCCTGACCTTCTGCTATAGGTTTTAAAATGGAAGAAAAGGAGCAATAGAGTATGACTGATAGAGTGGTTTGCTGCTTATTTTACAAAAAGCAATTTTGATGTTGAAATGGAAAGTATACCTAACTAATAGGGGTAGACAGCTAACAGAATAGAATCATCCTTTTTCTATCAAATCACAAAAAATATTTTTAAAAGACAATAGCCTTGTGCCGGAGACTTCCCCACCAAAAATGAATTAAAGTTAAATATAAAACAATGACAGACCATTTTTTCAAGTGCAAGGAATAGAAATATTTTTAAAAGTATATGAAAAAATCAAATTTCACTTTTAAACATATGATTGTATCCATTTTCTCTTATTTTTGAGATAATATTTTTAAATTACATTACAGTAATATGCTTAATACTCCACTAAATAAAGAATTCAGCAATTATGCAATAAAGATATTATAGTTCCATAGGAATGTATGTAAGGGTTTTGCACAAAATCAAATGAAAACCTGTTTAACCGTGTTCATAGAAATTTTAAAATAGCCACAGCTCATTAACATTGCAGTAGTAGATAATTTTTAACAATTTATTGCACAATTAAATCCCTATTTTAATTTGAATCAGGTATAACTCAAATTATGTAAATAACGCATTACATAGAGAAGCAGTCAGTCAAAAATCACAGTGAATATGAAAAGCTGAACTAATGGAAAACTAAGAGATATTTTCTCAGTAATTTATTAGAAAGGAGCTGTTTGGGGGAAAGTATGGTAATGGTTTGAAACCTTGCTTATTCGACTAAGATTAGAAGGTATGATTCTAATTAGT